GGGGTCCCAGGGCGGGTTTGCTGTTTGCTTTCGGCAGCCTGCTGTAATTGGGCCCGGGGGAGGAGCCTGGTTGCGCTGTTGCTACCCTCAACACTCCCTTGCTCCCTTACGTTTTCTCCTGCAGCCATTTCGTGCTGCGGACCAGGGCTTCACCCGGGCACCTCTGGGCCAGCCTAGACGGCAGCACCCAAAGCACAGCAGGGGCACGGCCGCTGCGCGCCCAGGGCTGTCCTGCCCCGCGGTGGGGAGACGCGACCTCAGAGGAGCCCCACCAGGGTGCCCAGCCTTGGGCAGTGGTGCCGCGCACTCACCGCATGTCGAAGGTGGAGCCCAGGAATGAGGGCTTCAAGGTCTCGGCGGCTGTGGCCACGGTGTAGGGGGGCTGTGCCGTGGACTCGTTCCAGTATTTGTCCTTCCCGGCCAGCGGCAGATTCTGGTACATGTCGTCCACAGACAGCAGGGACACCTGGGCAGCGCAAAAGCAGGGGACAGGGATGATTTGCGAGGACATGAGCAGGACCCAAGTCTGCAGGTCCTGTCCCCAGGGCCCACCTTCCTGGGGCAGGACTGCAAGGGGCTGGAGAGGCTCTGGGCCAGGCTGATCTCCTGGCTGCTCTTGGGGCTTCCCTCTTCTGAATTACTCCCCCCGTGGTGAGGGGATAAACGGCAGTGCCAGGCAGTGGGTGCTGACCCCTCCGCATGGTGGGTGCCCACGGCCGGCTGCTGCGTCCCTTCCCTGCGCCGGAGAGATGCCTCCCCTCTCACTGGCTGCCCTGGAACAGCAGGGCACAGGCACAGCCCGGGGGGACACAGACCAGAGGAGGGACAGGGGATGGAGGGACAAGGTGCAGCCCTGCTTCTCTGCAAGGGAACCTCCTTTGGACGAGGGCCTGCAAGGCCGGGAGCAGAGCAGGGGGCCAGCAGGGCACCAATCCCATTTTCCAGATATGCCCCTGTACCCCAACTGCAGCAGTCCATCAGAACGACAGCACAGGACCCACCTGCAGGTTCCTGTCTATCAGTTTGTTGGTCTCAAAGTCATCGTCGTCTTCCCCAAAAGGGTTAATGATCTGCTCTGCAACCTGGGGAGGGAGGTGGCTGGGTGAGACAGGAGAGACACGGAGGGACCAGGGACACAGACACCTTCCCATGGGGATCGTCTGGCTGTCCACCCGTAGGGCTCACAACACATGCAGCCTCCCTGCCTGTGCTGAGCAGCCTCCATCCCTTGGGGCCCTGGTGTGGTGGCTGGGCACAGCAGACACGTCCTTGTGGAGAGCTTGCCGTGATGTGGCCAGTGCCATGCTCCAGGTGCCCCAGCCATGCTGGTGTTTTGGGGTACGTGGAGCCCCTGAGGTGCCCAGAGGGCACAGAGGCAGTTGAGGACCCTGTCAGCGAAGGCTGGCTGGGGGCCTGTGGTGGCTTTGCAGCAGCCGTCTCACCTTCAGCCAGCCGGCGTAGAAGAAGAACTGCAGGAGAGTGGAGAGGGGAATGTACATGTCCAGGTCCCCTTCCTGCCCCGGCTCCAGGGGCTCCAGGAACTGCCGCCCGATGAGGCAGAAGGCGAAGAAGGAGTAGACGGCGATGGTGACCACCTGCCGGGAGCAAGGGGTCAGCTGCAGAGGCAGCGCCACGTCCTGGGGCCTCTCTGGCTGGGAAGGGGTGCCGGGGGGGCTCAGCATGGGAGATGTTAGGTGAAAGAGGCTTGGCCGCTTGCTAAGGGTATCACACACTTGGGGCTGAACCCCACAGACTGGCCAAGCTCTGCCAAGGTGCAATTCCCTCGAGTGCCTCGCAGTCTCCTCCTGCCCTGTGCTCCCACACGTTGCTGCTCCAGAGCAGATGCAACAGGGAATAAAGTGCTTTTAGCAAGGGGGAGAGAGAGCCCCTTGGCAGGGTGGAGGAAGGAGGCTGTTGTGGTTCCTCCATGTCTGTGGAGTGGAAGAAGCTGTTTCATTCCAGGATCTGAGCTTGGGGACCTCGTGGTCCCCAAAACCGTGGAACGAGGGGACACCCACCTGCGTGTACACCAGCGGGATGCTGATCCAGTCGTAGTGGAACAACATGCTGCACTTGGCCCGGTAGAGGTTCAGCTCCTGGGCAGAGAGGGCAGGGACGGGTTACGCAGCCTTTGCACGAGCCCCCGTGCACCCCGCACAGCCCACCCGCCCTGCACCGACTCACGTCCATGAGCAAGCGGAGAGCCACGTCATCGCGGACGCGGCCGTCCCGCCTGGCCTGGGCGGCCAGGTTGGTGAACCACACGCAGGGGATCCAGTACTTGTTGAAGTCCGAGTGGAGGCTCTCGAACTTCTTGCGCTCGTCCTGCGTCATGAAACCTGTGGCCAGGGAGGGAGGAAGCGAGGGAGAGACTCGGCGCCCCGGCCCCGGCCCCTGTGCTGGCGGGGAAGAGGTGTCCTGAAACCAACAGCAGCCACACAGTGCCCTACCGCTTTTGGGGACTGTCCCTGGTGGGAACATGGGGTTTTCCCAGCCTGCAGTGAAAGTACAGCCCCGGGAGCCCAGCCCCTGCACTGTGCCGGGGGACAGGCTCCAGGAGGACAGAGGGAACATGAGGCTCTCTGGGGATGAATGTCCATGCAAGGAAACTACCCCTCTGAACTGGGGCTTACCTGACTGCCACCTCGCATATGGGTCCTGCACTCTTCTCTGTGGGTTTTGGGCAGCGACGCTTGCAGAGGACCAGGATGCTACCCCCTCTCTCTGGCCCCTCAGCACTCCCCCATGGTGACAGGGACAGCTGTTGTCCCCATGGGCTTTGCCCCTTTTCGCCCCTCACCCGCTTCCACCACGTGGTCCATGGTGGGGAACCTTTTGAGCACCCGGGTGCTGACGGAGCGAAGGATGAGGACGGCCGAGAGGTTGGCGTAGCGGATGAGGGTGCGCCGCAGGATCCGCCCTCTCTCGTCCTTGCCGTGGACGTTGCTGGAGATGACGCACATGAGCTGGTCGGGCAGCGGGATGCTGGTGTACTGGGCCCACCACCGGTTCACAATCAGGGTGACATAGAAACCTGTGTCAGGAGACAGTGTGTGGTGGGTCAAGATGAGGATGAGCCCATGCAAGGAGACCTGCCAGGTTTCTAGGGGTGACAGATTTCTCTGTGGCCGGGAGATAAAGCACACACTGTGCTTCCCCTTGGACTGCCCCTCCCCAGGGACGGAAGCGGGGACATCAGATAGCTTCCCACCAAGAGCCTTTCCCAGCTTTTCTGCAGCCCTGGGAAAGGGGCACAGTCGTTTCTCTTTGCTGCTGGGTGCAGGTGGTGCAGAGGGAAGCAGGGGAGCCACCACTCACAGATAAGGAGCCCCGCTCCCAGGCATGGGGAGGAGGGCGAAGGGCGGCCGGGGAGAAATCACAGCCTCCCACTGGAGCCCCGGAGCAGGCTCCCCCCCACCCCCCCCCCCTTCCCCGCCACCTGCTCTGGCATCCAACATGCTGGGGAGCTGGGTGCCGTCCCTGGGGCATGGGGCTCCCCTCTCCCCTTGGCCGAGGGTGTTTGAGGTACGTTTTGGCTGGGGAAGAACAAGAAGTCAGGATGGGTATCGGGAGCACCCTGGAGCTGCTGGTGCCAGGGCGAGCAGGGAGCCTGGACCCTGGGGTGCAAGAAAGGCCCCCGAGAGGGAAACATACCTAGGACAAATGACATGGGGATGAGGTCTGTGGAGCGATTGCAGTATTGAGCCACTTTGGTATAGAGGCGCTTCTGGTCTTCGGTCAGCAGCCGCCTGCACCGGACATGCAGCTGGGTCAGGGTGACCGGCAGGGCTGGGCCACTGCCTTGGACCTCTGCAAAACGCTGTCACCCAGTTCTCCAACCCCTTGTTGGGGCCCTGGCCTCTCGCCAGACCTCCCCTGCCCACACCGACCACCTAGGGTACTCCTGTGGGTTTCCCCCTCCCCACAGCTACCCAGCACGGGGCCTTTGAGCAATGGGGCATCTTCACAGGTCCCTGCCCCGAGGCATGGCACGTGCCCAAGGCCCTTCCCGGTGTCCTAGAGGACCCCCTGCATGGGCAACGGTGAGGGACGCAGGCTTGCAGTGAGCAACACGACCTGGCGAGACATGCCGGCCCTGCTCACCGGTAGATGAGGCTCAGCACCGCGTACAGCACCACAAAGACGATGAACTCCTTGTAGAGCAGCTTGTAGATGCTGCCTTTCCAGCGGAAGAGCAGCTTGGAGAAGCCCCCAAAATGGGAGTTGGCGACTTTCAGCGTGTAGGAGATGGTCATTGTGGCACAGCCCGGCGCCTTGATGCTGCAGCCAGGACAGACAGACGGATGAAGGTGTTACCCCAGGGGCATGGCTCTCCCTCCCTCCCAGAGCTGCCCCCATCCCACGGCTGGCTGTGAGCGGGATAAGGAAAAGGATAGGGATAGAAAAAGGAAAAGAGTAAGGATGGCTCAGCTATGGGGAAAGCATCCTGCTCCAGCCACGCGGGAAAAGGCTTTTTAAGAGAAAAATAGCTAAGGATTTAAAGGACAAATCCTTAGTTTGCTCACTGATGGCTAAACTGGGAAGACTTGGGATTCCCGCTGCCAGCCAGGCTGCAGAGCCTGCGGACACTCGCTCATGCTCACATCGAGTGCTATCTCCAAGTGTGGGCCGCCAGAAATGGCTCCCCCTGTATTAACAGGCTCAGCCCACGGCCGGTGGTTAAGGGCTTCGGTTCCCCCCCGGCCACATCCCTGCCCGTCCCCAGCCCCCTGC